ATTTTTTTTTATCATTTTTATTTTTCTATGGAAATACTGAAGCAATTGTGACTTGTTTTTGTTTTTCCCCATCACTTGGAGCTGAGTCCTTTCATCTTTGATTCAGCCAATTTCCTTCAAAGCTAAATATTAAACAGATCTGTCTTCTGACAGCTGACCCCAAATAGGGACAGGCAGTGGTCCTCACCCCGGGGGTGCAGAGCAAGCCGACAAAGGTAGAAGAGAGACAGAATGGAGCCAGTTCCTATCCCCTGGGGAAGCCCGGGAGTTCTGTCTAAGCCTCTGCACAGCCAAACAGCCAAGAGCCAAGCAACCCATGGCTTCTGGAAGGCGTTCTTACAGAAATGCCTTCTTTGCCAGAGGGTGAGAGGGTTGCTAATTGATTTTGTCTGCCTTTCAGAGGGACTTAGAAAGACACAAGAGTCTAAATTCTAACAGAGAGGTAACATTTCTGGATATGTGAGCAAACTTTTCCGGGTTTCATGTGACCTAGCAGTCCCCTTCCCAGTGTGTGTGTGTGTGTGTGTGTGTGTGTGTGTGTGTGTGTTTGGCTTGGTGAGCATGGACACATTCTTATCCTGGCATGACTGTGGGAGTTGGAAAACAATCTCCTGTATCTTCACTTTCTCCTTTCTCCAAGATAGTGTCTATTGCTCACCACTGTGGATGCCAGGCTAGCTGGGCCACCAGCTTCCATGTATGGTGATATTTTATTTGTACTGAAATGTGATCTTATTTGTATGTTAATAAATAAAGTTGCCCTGGGGTCAGAGCTATTAGCAAGCCATAGAGAAAGCTGGGCGGTGGTGGTGCACGCCTTTAATCCCAGCACTTGGTAGGCAGAGCTAGGTAGCTCTCTGTGTGTTCAAAGATACAGCCAGCTTTGGAGAAACACGCCTTTAATCTCAATACCAACCATAGACGACTTGGAGGTCTGTACAGACGGGCAGTGACTAGGAGGTCATGTGGTTGGGTTTACAACCAATGAGAAGGCAGAACAGAAACCCTATAAAAAAAAGACAGGCACAGGAAGTAGGTCTCTTTCGGAGAGGTACAGCAACAGTGAGGGGTAAGGTTTTTAGCTCTTAGCTATTGCTCTGACCTCTTGGCTTTCATCTCTGTATTGGCTCTGTGTTTCTTATTTAATAAGATGGTTCGTTACATCTACATCGATGGATTCTCCTGTCTCCACACCTCCCAAAGCATTCTCCCGTACCTGACTTGATATGGGATCTAGAGAGCTTAACTTGGGTCTTTATCCTCGCCAAGCACTTTACCCCCGGAGCCATTGCCTCAGTCTTAACATCCGTGTTTCTTTAGTTAGTTTGTCAGCCTGTTAATAAGGTCATTAAGTTTAATTAGGCTGGCCATCTTAGAAAATAAGCATACCTGTGCATCCAAACTCACTTGTTGACAGTAGTGGATAAGAACAGGCTACCGGGCTGGGGAGATGCTCAGTGGCTGAGAGCCCATGCTGTGCTTGCTGAGGACCTGAGTTCAGTTCCCAACACCCACATTAGGCAGCTAACAGCCACCTGTAAATCCAGCTTCAAGAGATCCAATACTCTCTTCTGGCCTCCATGGGCACCTGAACACAGGGACGAACCCATACACCAGCATACATGCATACACGTAATTTGAAAAAACATTAAGAACAGGATAGATCTTCTCAAATTCTCTCGTACACCGATGGCTTGGGTGCTGTTAAGTCAACACAAGACAACAGGGAAGTCAGGGAGAATGTGAAGGGAGCGGGGAGCCCTTCAGTCCCACAGCTCTAAGTCTGCCTTTGGATGCCAACACAAGCAAGCTGTGTGATGTACAAAAGAGCAGAAATGCCTGTTTCCAAAAGGATGACAATGGTTTTAACAGGCACAGGGAAGTAAACAAGTCATGTAGTCATTGTGAATGATTAAAGTTTTTCAGAGAAATGAAAAAAAAAAAATCAGCAGGATTCAGAAGGACTACCCATTACTGAAATACAGAGCTGGGGTCAGACTCCAAGTTGGGAGGGATGTGTTTGCTTGATTAAAAGAAAAGCCAGGGAGAGTCTAGGCATATGCACGGACTAAGTCTCCCTAAGCTCCCAAGCTGACATTCCTCTTTTCTTTCTTGTTATCTTGGATTTGAATGTTGTTCTTGGTGATTTTTCAAAAAATGAAAACTATGGCCTTACATCCCCACCCGATCAACACATGACTGAAAATGAGAGGTGGAAGCCTGCGTTCATTTCCTCTTCAGCTTAACATCAACCATACGGGAGCTCAGGGGTTCTTGCTGTTTTTGTCAAAAGACAAAATCTCGACAAATGTAGTTAGAGATCCGGTTGGACTTCAGGTGTGACTCATGCAAAGGGGGCAGCCTCCATGTCTCCAGACAGAACCAGTATTGGCTCCTTCTGGGCAGGAGCAGAGCAGTGTGCTCTGGACGACAGGGACAAGCGAGTGAGAAGAGGAGGTAGGTGGGTGATGGCCCGGCTCCCACACTTCAGGCCACTTTTGTGTAAAGCAGAAGGGATGTTCTTGTTGATTCTGGAGGAATCGCCTGTTCTCAGGAAAAGCTCTTCTGGTGGGGATCTATTCGTTTCCCCAAGTAGACAGGGCAGGATAGTATAATGGCAGAAGGTGTGGCATTTAGTCAGAGTGACACCATCTTAGCTTATTTAAGCTGTTGGTATACATGGTGGTAACTCAATGAACTACCACTACTTTGTTTGACATTTATGACATGAAGAAGATAAGTAGGCTTTGTTGGTTATTGTTGATACGTACATTTAGAATGTAAGTTAGACTGTAGAGTCATATAGATATTAAGTATTCTGTAGGATAATTGTTCTAAATAGAGAGTAGAGAATAATTTATTTGTGGGTGTTGTTTCTGAGACAAATCCACTAACTCTTAATAAACTCATGACATTGTTAGTGAAATTACAATGCCAGAAGAAAATGTTTAAACATGAATCCATACCTTATGTTAATTTTACTTATATCTATTTATAAAGATAAGCTGAAGCTTATGGGAGCTCTAATTTACATGCAATTTACATATTCCTTGTTTTCCCACTATGCCTATATTTATAGCCTACATATTATGATAACAGCCCAATCAATCTGTCTAGAACAAGCAAGTTTATAAATTTATCATTTTGGTAGTTATCTATTCAAAATTAATTCATGTATATATATATACATACACACATATATACATACATACATACACACACACACACACACATATATATATATATATATATATATATATACACATACATATAATTAAACCTGAAGTTATTCTTGAGTTCAGTCACACTGGTTTTATATCTGTTATTAAAAAGCAAGGGCTCCTCCTGGTGAACCAGGAAATCAACACAGCACACTAACTTCAGGTGTGATTATTTCCTTTGCTGGGCAGCAAGTTCATTATCCCTAAGACATTCTCCTGGAAATCTGACTTCAGGACCAGAGACAGCCAAGTCTATTTTAGGGAAACGGCAGTAACTCCTTCACCACACTAGAGGCCTTTTAACTAAACTCTCTCCCAATTCCGGAGGAAGTTCACAAAGTGCTGCTCCCAGCTCCATCCAAGTGGGACAGTCTTAGGGTAGAGTCACGCTCCTCATAGTCGGTAAACCAGGATTTCTCTCTTTAACTGACTCAAAGCCTCTTTAGAGGGAAATCACGCTGTGCAGTCTCCCAGCATCGACATGGAGGGGCTGTACAGCAGCTCCATGTACACCAAGAGTCTGCATTGGTTAATGCCCAGCTGGGAGCAAATGCAGGCTGGGGAAATAATAAACCTGGCATCCCATTGCTGTTCCTTAACTTTATCAGATATTGTCAACTTTGGGGGTCAGTGGAATGGCTTAGATGGTAAATGTACATGCTGTTGTGCCTCATGACCTTAGTCTAACACCCAAGACCCATATTGTCAAGGAGAAGCTGATTCCCTCAAGTTGTTTGCTGCCCTCCACTCCTGTAGTGCATACAGGCTCATGCACATGTGTGCCTGCACACACACACACACACACACACACACACACACACACACACACACACAATTAAATGTAATAAAATGTAATTTAAAAAAAAGGAATTAGCTAAAATCACTAGCCCACCTCCTCTCCCTCAGAACCCTCCTCCCAATATCCACTTTACCCTCTTGACAGCAGGCCTGAGGCTCGGCTGACCACAAGAAGGCTTTTCTTTCTTTTGATGAGGTTACAAGATGGCTCATGTGCTACCTTGTGGAAATGGCTTTGAAGGAGATCACTGGATGCTGGGTGATTGTAATTGGATTTAACTAATGTTGAATGTACTATAAGAGTGATGCATCTTCATGATAATTCAAGTTGTCATCTCTGGGTTTGATTCAACATCGTAACCATGCTCCAGCTTCCAGAGCTGCCTCCAGCCTCAAACTTCATCTCTGAAGGCTCAATGGCTGCAGGGGTGCTCAAGGAATCCAACAGCAAGCTGGAGTTCTCTGCAGAAAGTGACGCGCTCTTGAAATGCAATCCCAGCCATCTGGACAGCCAACTCTGCCACCCAGGGTGATTGTTACAGAAACGATTCCTGGATCGGGAGCTGTGGCTCCTTGTGTATACTGTGTCGGGGTGTTGGGGTGAGGCCGGAATTCTCTGCTGGAATCCTTCCAAGATAAACTTACTTATCTTTCCAAGGAGTCTTTCCAAGATAAGCTTGCTGATCCCACTATGTGGAGCAGAGAGAAACCAAGCTGGAGTGTTAGGCTGTGGGCAGAGGCAAGGGTTTTACTTTTAAATCACAGTCGAGTCTAAGATCAAGAACCCACTAAGATGACAAAGTGTTTACCATGCACCTGGGCTCCACGCCAGGGCTCTGACAGAGCCAGTGCCAAGCCGGGGCTTCTTCTCTGAGCCACCAAGTTCAACCAGTGCATAGACAGCAAGACAGAGCCTTTACAGCCTCCCTTGAAATATAGAAGCACGCAGTCAGGCATGGTGGGGGAAAACAAGGTGAGAGGTGCTTTTACGGTGGGGTGAAGAGTGAGGTAGAGAGGCCCAATTTTGACTTGCCCTTTTTTCTGTCTTCTTCCTCCAGGTGCAAGACCAGGATGTCAGACCTGCAGAGGACCTCTGGAGGCAAAAAACGGAGTGAGAATCTGCAGACAGAGGAGTATCTCTGGGCACACACAGGGCTCGGAGTCAGAGCCTGGCTGAGGAATTGTTCATTCAGTTTGGGGCAGTTTGTATTTTCTGTCCCCATGATATTCCTGGAATTGCCAGCATGAGAAAGCAATCCATGGGTGCCCAGGTTAGCTGCCCCCCAGCCCCTTTCCCACCTGACTCCCTCACCTCAAAAGGGTAGATAATTCAAAACCCCTCTAGTTCACAATAAGCTGCCTGTGGCATCAGCATGTGGCACCAGTCACTCTGTCTCTGTCGTTTGTTTCTGAAGTCATCACCAGAGACTCCAGTTTCATAATCCACAGTGGACTTAAAAATAGAGGGAAATTTATTCCAAGATAATTTGGTCTTCAAATGGTAAGATCAACCAAAGATACCTTTGGGGAACTCAACACACTAATGCGGAGCTGCCTCAGAGCAGGGGAAGGGCTATCAATCCAGCCCCTCTTTCCTGCTGGTTCCTATAGTCGAGATGTGAACATGGAGCATACACTCGCCTCTGCGCCAGTCACCGAGGTCTAGCAGCATTATTTTATGAACTAGCTCTGAGCAAGATGGTCAAACTGTTTAGAAGCTACTTGTGAGCCCTGAAAAGCTACTTATGAACCCACTCTCCTACATTTTTAAACCCTTGAAAGTATAATCTAGGTATTTCTAACTCATGTATATTTCTTGTAGGTATCCCCCTACAAGAAGACAGCAATACCCGCAGGTCAAAAAAGGGCATGGAGATGAACCACTCTGGAGACAGTTTCAGGGGAAACTTCTTCATGGCCCATGAACAACCACTTGTGTAGTGGAAGCCTATTGGCTATGGTTGGTCAGCACATTCCCTCGAATTGGATAGACCAGACCACCAGGGTCTCTGTAGAAGAAGCACATTGAAGGAGATGAGGGAACACAGACTTGTCTGCAGGCCAGCTACCGGCTACTCATGGTACTTCAGACTTCACTGTCCTGACTTCTGGAGCATGGTGTGCCAGGCTTCTTATTTAGAAGTGCAGTGTGTCAAGCAGGCTGGCCGCAGGTCATGCCTGCATTTTCTCTTCCAGTTCCTTCTTGTTGTTTTCAGATGACCCTTGATGGATCTTCGGGGTGGCCCCTTTGTCTTTATCTAGTTAAGAACTCCCTTAAATTAGGTTCACAGACTTAATGTGGGATGAGGCAATGTCTAACTAGTTCTTTCTTGTGTGTGCCACCTTTTTCACTCTGGCCTTAATTTCCTAAGAAGCAGGAGAAAGAATTCATCAACTATCCCATACTAAAATGAGAACGGTCCTTTCTCTGAGCCACCCAACTAGGATCCCATCAAGATACAGGGAAACAATAAGTCAGTTAAGTAAACAAGAGAATAAATCAAAACTAGTTGTCAACTAACTGCCAGATTCTTGTTGGAGGTACTTTCTAGTTAGTCTGGTAGAATCAAAGCTTGGCCTGCCTGTTACGTCAACACACACCCAAACCCAAAACAGAACCCAGAGTCAGGCATTCCGGTGTTTCAAGTCACAGAGACTTGAGTTTGAATCTAAGTTCTGTTCTCATTCCCCCATTCCCAACTAACGGTGGGGCATAAATGACTTACTTTTTCAAGTGGAGACAGTAATGTCTACCTTGTATTTGTAGCTAACATTTATTGAGTACTTACTGTATGCTGTGTGTTTAGAACATCACTTGTGTTCCTTCGTTTTATCCTCATGATTTCTCCATTCTACACACGAGAGCATGGAAACTTCCAGCATTTCAAAAACATGCAAGGTGGTAAATGTGGGTCATCAACATGGCTCTTTGTGACTCAGAAGTCCTCTGCCTGCACTGTGAATATGAAATGATATGGAAGACAGCAGGTAGTGCTTATGGGAGGTAGGAAAGGGAACCTGGAGGGAGAGAGAAACTCCCCCCACTGTGTTAGTATTTCTGGGGCTCGGGCCTTTGTGGATTTGCACATTCTCACAGAGGATAACCGATGGCTGAAGAGAAGTCCTCTACTTCCCCAGAGAATGTTGCCTTCCTCCACTACGTGTTAAGTGTCTTAAGAATGCTTCTAGAAGAGCAAGTTAGGAAACAGGTCACCATTTAGTCAATCAGATATTTTCCAACTCAAGCGTTAGACTAGATGGGACAAAGCATGTCTCACACTGACCCCAAACTCTTTCCTAAATGCAGAGACATGGACTAGAGCCTCATCATAAACCTGGAGAAGGAAGAACAGCTTTATTTGTGATAGCAAAAAGCTTCCTTAAGCTTTCAGGAAATAGCAGGTGGTTGTATTCCAAGGGCTGACTGTGGCTCTCAGTCCCTCCAAAAGATTTCACAGAGTCTGCACTTGCCATCCTGATTTGGCTCCCATTTTTCAAGTGGAGAGGAAATGGCACTCCATTGTAGACACCAAATCCTCATGATTTCTGAACTACACTGATTAAGAAAAGAAATGGCTTTTGCAGGTTTGTGCTGGATGCTGAGATAACTGTAGTCAGTACAGATAACAACAGAAGGAAGAAAAGAATGAGGGAAACAAGAATATGGCTGGCTGTCCTCTTCAGAGTGGACTCCTGAGGACTCAGCCTAGGGCCAGGGTTGGCCTTCCTGTGAAGTGGTCTTTCTACCCAGTTGAGTAAACTGGCACCCATACCAATCTTTTCATATTTTAGGACAAAGAAACACATCCTAGAAAACTCAGCACATGGTTTCTATGTCTTTTACTGTTCCTTCAAGGCATCCTTAGACATATGTTTGACTTCGTAATATAATCTTATATTTGAACTTTATGTGAATCATGATCATAATGAAGACAATAACTTCCAAAGAATACCTATGCTGCTGCCTCAGGAGTGGAATCCCATACTTGATACAAATCATTTCAGTTTTTCTTCTTGATTTTGCTGAGAAAACTGAGATTCATATTTTAAAATCTCTCTCTCTCTCTCTCTCTCTCTCTCTCTCTCTCTCTCTCTCTCTC